TTTTATTTTATTTTTTTGAGTTAGAGTCTCACTCTGTCGCCCACGCTGGAGTGCAGTGGCACACTCAGGCACATTGACCTGCTGGGCTCTGGCGTGCCTTCTGCCTCAGCCTTCCAAGTAGCCGGAACTACAGGGGCACACTACCACACCCATGCACTGCACTTTTATAGCAATTCTGATAGGTTAAATGTTTTGTAAAATCCACATTTTTAATTTATGGTCTCTAAATATTTATGTATTCTCAAGAACATTCAAAACTGATACTACATAACTATACAGAGTATTAGAGTCAAATAAATGGTGATAAAAAAGATATGTTACACAGGAGGTGAAGTTTATTCAGATACCCAATTTTATACTGATGCAAAAACAGAGACGTGGATTAACCAGTTATTTAGCAAAGCTACCCCTTCCTTAACTTTTAATTTATATTCTTCTATGCATAGACAAGTTATGTACCATCAGTCCCAGTTGAGAAAGAGAGTGAAACACATTCAAGACAGAGAAGCCTTTAAAGAACCTCTCTATTCTTATCTCTTTTCTTTCAAAGTCATTACCCAAATGTCCTCCAACTACTCACCATGGCTCCCTTTCAGAAAACAGAGCTCATATACAGCTTATATCAAACTATGTACATGTGGTATATTATCAATCTTTCCACATTTAAGAAGGCAGTGAGTGAGAAAATTTGAATGTAAAGGGATTAAATTATTAGATTTCTGGCTCATGACAAAAATAAGGTTTCGTAGTCTAAGTATGTTTGTCTGTATGGATAGAGCAATAGATACTGCCATCAGTTTTAAGATTTTTTGGTCTCCTGTTCTTATAATACAATATTACTGCCTTATGTGACATATGAACTTCAGTCTCTGATTTTTTAATGTGGTTAAAAGCTTAAAAATACTGAAATGCCTGTTAAACCTAAGTACTAATGAAATTGCAAGAGATGTCAGAACTTAAGAGGAATGAATTCCTAGGAAGGCACACTTAGGAACTCTTCCAAGAGGCTTGTCTCCACTTCTCAACAATGTTTCCTAATTATAGCAGGAAGGACAGATACTTCTATCCCCCTAATAATTTAGTTTCTTAAATAAGATTGCTTTAAGTTACTCTATAGTGAATATTTGGTCTCTTACCTTTCTTTGTCCTCCATCAAATAGAAAACATTACAAATCAAAGAAATCCATAGACTTAAATTAGAATTTCTTCATTATTCAACATTTAAATTCAATTGTTCTATTTCCCAGGAACTGGAGAGGTCAGACATGACTGATCCAAGAATGTGCATTCATAGAAAAATGAGTTTCTCTTTATCCCCTACTTTCCTGGCAGTGAATTCTGTAGAAAGATTGCCAACAAGAAGGGAAATGCCTGCTTGGTTATTTGTAAATCATTAACATTTCAATCTTAATCAAACTACCTTTTTTTCCTTCAGAGTCACAGGTTTGAGCTCGTCTTTTAATTAAAAAGTATATATCTATGGTCAATGTATATTTAGTTTTAATAGGAAAGGACATTTCCATAACAAAGTAAATATTTCACTTGAGTCATAATCCTCATGTAAACATGCATATCCATCACATAAATTGAGAAAAACACTTTTTAAGTTTATAACTCTGTAAAAAGCATATGTGTATCTTCCCAAAGTTCACACTCCCCTCCCAAGTTTTTATATTGTCTTTTCTCAGTGCACTCATTTTGTTTTTATTATTTATTTATTTGATAATGCATAGATAAATGCTGAGGTGCTAGTTTACCAGGGGGCAATTTTTGGAAAGGAGCTTATTTTCTCTTTTAGTACCAATTCAGCCCTGTTTCAACATCAACGTTAGGTATTTGGGGGAGGAACTACAAAGAAAAAGAAATCTGGTGCTTCCATTTTAAAGAACCAGTTCATTTCTGATCTGACCTTTTAAAAAGCTCTTAAGGGTACTTAATCACTGTGATGATCTTGATGAAGCTTGCCAAGTCACTTTTATCTATGACCTGTATGTGAGAAGATCAATGGGCTGCAAGAAGTAAAAAGAAAAAAATAAGAACATTGATATAAAAAGAAAAAAGTTATTCATTATATGTGTACGTATATTATAAAGTTGCATCACTTATGCATGATAAATTATTGCTTTTCTATAATTATATAGAAATGTACTGTAACAATCTTTTCCCTTTCTGGTTACTAGATAACTAGTTTAAAACAAGCATCTTTGGGAGCTAACATAGGATGCAGTACAGTAGGCAAGCATGTTGACACCATGGATTTATATTCCTTCTTATATGTATACTTCAGACAAGATAGTTAACTGTGTATTTTTTTTAATCTGTAAAATTAGGATAATTGCAGTGTTTGTCTCAGAAAGTTGTAGTGAGGATTGAATGAGATGTATTATGTAAACATAGCACAATGCCTGATATACTGTAAGCACTTAAAGTTTGCTGTTATGTTAACCTTTTTTCCCTGTATTCTCTTTCTAATAGTCTTCAACAAATCTATGTACAATTGGATTGGTTTCCTACAGATCAGCTACAATAGATGAGCTCTCAAATGTAGACTTTTAAAAAATATATTTTTCTTTCTGGAGAAACTGAAAGATTCCTCATCCAGGATTTTGGCTGAAAATTTTATGTTTCTAGAATTCCTTTGAAAATGTTTCCTTGAAGAGGAGATTGTTCAACATGAAAGACTAGTGTGATCCAGAACTAAACACATTGGACTATAACAATGCTTTCAATGGTGACCTTGGATAAACCACTTTATCTTCCTGTGCCTTAACTTTTTCTGTAAATATGATTTTCCATCTTGTCTCAAAAGCTGAAAGATGTAGGTAAAAAATAGTTTTTGATTTACAGTAAGCTGTGGAGATTATAGTATTGTTCAATATATTATGAGCTTCCAGATAAATCTTTTTACAACCACATTGAAATGATAGGCAAGATTTGTTTAGAGAAAGATAATTGGATTACAGGATTAGCAGTATGCTTGAAAATAAATATCAGAATTGGTATCTTAGTAATCATTTTGATAGTTCCCTACTCAAAGTTTATTTTGTACACAATAATTACTATTACAATACCCCTGACTTTTGAGAAGTAAAGTTTTTTGGGGTTTAGTCTTCCTGTCTGGATATGTAGCTGTGCGTTCAAATGAATTACATCAACCCAAGATTTTTGTTTTCTTTTAATAAAATGTAAATACAGCTGAAGGGACTGACCTCTGCACACTTGGTAAGGAGGGTTTTGCTGAGCATCCTCAGTTAGACCAAGGACCTGTTTGCATCTAGTGGGTTGTCCAGCCCAGCAGCAGCAACACATGCTGACATCTTGACTGAAATCAAGGCCAGAGACGCAGGCAGGGGGCTGAGTCGGCTAATGACGTCTTCAGGGTTGTTCCTCCCAGTTCTTGTCTAGTCCCAACCTGGTCACCCACTCCCCTTTGAAAGCTGCATACGCAGACAATGAAAGAGAGCACTGCTGGGAAGGAACAATATTCTGTCCCACCGCGGTACCTCTGAATTTAATAAGGTCAGTTGGACGTCTACAGCTTTTATCTATTGCTACAGCTCCCTACCCAGGAGAGAAATCTGTCTCTGAAACATAAACACACGCACACACATGCACACGCATATGGACTGCAAAAACATACTTGGAAAAATACCCACGCATAAAAAAAAAATCACCTCCCACCAACACGCACCACCCTTACCCCTCACTACAGCGCGTATGCTTGTGCGTGCACGCATACACACACATCCACACACGCACACGCACTGGGAGAATCACAGACCCACACACAATGCACGTACCCAGGAAGCTCAGAATCCTTCCTACGCCTGCAGACTGAACCCACTCGCCACTCAAGGCTGTGGACGCTCACGATGCACCCACTTTCCAGGGCGGAACTCCCTCCAGATGCAGTCGCCTGGCTCCACAGAGCGAGCAGCTCCGAGGCGAGCCCAGGGACAAAAGCTGGGCTGGGTCATTGGCGGGTGGACGGGACGGGACCCATTATTTGTGCACAGTGTGGGAAGCTGCAAACTTAAGTTGGGCGTCCCCTGGACTAAGCCCTTAGATGGACGCTCACCCCTCCCCCCGCAGCCTCAGCCGTGCAATTAGAGCCACAGGCAGCGGCAATCAGCTGTTCCAGGACTCGCGTCGCGGCACTCCCCCCTCCTGAGTTGGGGCCAGATTCCCGGAAAGGTCAGATCACCAACCGGTCTCTCCTGGTCTACGGAACTCGCTCGTGGAAGGATCTGAGCCAGGAGGGTGTCGAGAAAGACCGAGAAACTGACACACAGAGGCACACCTCGCTGGTCTGGGAGACGCCGCTCCCCTCCACCACGGGATGGGAGAAATGGGGTTCCTTGTGGAGGGGAAGGAGGAGCGGGTGGCATGAAGACGGCCAGTAGATGGCACAAGAACTCTTCCCTTGCACGATCTTAACCCTTGCGTGGTATTAGGGTTTGCCAAATCCAGATGTATAGATACATACATTTTTCGTTTTGAAAGAAACCTCCCATTTACATATTTGGGGCCGATTCAGAATTAAGACAAATGGATCCGTTCTAGATAACTGCCACGGATAAAGTAGTGGAGCTGCAGCTCTCACCAACTGAAAAGGGGGTTGGAAGGATGAAAGGGCGAACTATTTGGGGAAATGACACTGACTTCTTTCCCCACCCCACCCCCGCCCGGGCCACGGATGAAATCCGTTTACGGAATCACTTAAAAAAAAAAAAAAGGTTACGGATTTACACGTAGGTATTTGAATATGTAAATACATGTGTGCAAATAAATTCTTCTCTGTGACTGCCCTTTCCAATTAAATCATAGGATAATAAATGCGAGAAGCCTGCCTAAAATATGCTGCAACTACCGTAGTAACACATGTCCCATTATAACGACGTGGGCATCGATGGAGCCCGATCCATTAGCATCCCGGTTTCCCCAAAAGCAACACGGATCCTCCAATTAAAATATTCCTCTGACACGCTTCTGTATTCGCAGGCTGCAATGGAGAGCTCACTAATATCATATTTCTTGGGCTGCTTTTACAAGCAGAATTGATCTATTCGAGGGAGGGGGAGAAGAAAACAAGCCCCTTAATTCCAAATATTGTGGGGAGTTTACCAGCGAGCAGAACTGGGCTTTAAGAGGCTCACTAGTGGTTTCTGGTGGTTGCTATAAGGAGCTAGAATCGGGGTGGATTTTGGTGGAGGGGGAGGAAAAACGCGCAGGAAAAGACAGAATCCAGAGTAGCAGAGACTTTGTGCCCCCGTTGGAGAGATGGTTGAGTCCTCGTCAAGGTTGCTGTGGTATCCCAGAAACACCATTCACTCCGAGCTGTGACCGCGCACCGACAACAGCAACAACTCCACTGCGCCGGGCTGAGCAGCAGGCAGACGGAGCTCGCGGATAATATGAAAGGGATCCGCAGAGGAGACAGCCGAGCGAAGGAATCCAGACCCCGGGAGCCTGGCACGCGAAGATGCGCTAAATGTGGCCGACTCGACTTCCTCCTGAGGAAGAAAAAAATGGGGATTCAAAGTGGATTTACGTTTTGGAATCTCGTCTTTTTATTGACGGTGTCTTGTGTGAAAGGTAGGTCTGCTTTTTTGGGGAGGGGGTCCCCTCCGCTTCGCATGGAGGTGGGCTGACGGGTAGCAGGAGAGAGAGGCTGGCGGCTCACTTTGCAATTTGCACCGAGAAAATAATCGTGGGTAATACTGAAGAAGGAGTTGATTCACGGCTCTTTTTCCCCCCACCCTCGGATAGGAAATGCATTTTGCTTGCCAGATTTGGCGTTCAATGCGGTGATTGAGCTTGGGCTCAATAAATATTCTTGCAGTATGCTCAAACGAATACGTGAGTTGGTTAGTACAGCCTCTAACTAGTGGATGTCCAAGGCAGAATTCCTCTGCAAAGACTTTTTTTGGCAGTGAGGATTCACCTTTGATTTGTTGTCAAATCGGTAGGGTTTGATGCTCTGGGTGGAATGTTCATATTGAAGACTCCAGTGTCGGTGCTTTTTTAACCCTTTTGGCGAAGAAAGTTAACGACGTGCCAGGAATGTGTTGGTTTTCAAGGCACTGGGGCACAGGGATCCTCCAAGTCTTGCCAGCCAACAGGGATGTCTGCGTGCATATGTAAATTATTTATACGTGGGTTTCTGTGAGATGAAATTATATGCAGGGGAGCTTCCCTAGGTCCTGTGGTAGGGGGTGGGTCAAAAATGAGGCTTGAAAAGGGTCTGAGACGCCACCAAGTGTAAAGATTCACCTCAGGGGAAGAATGAAGGTAGGAGGAAAGTCATTAGCTGACGACCAAGAAGAAAATCCCCAGCAAGTCTCAGCGTGCAGACAGGTAGAGCGAGTGTCACATGCACAGACAAGGGGAGGGGGGTGGGTGGCATGTCAAATGTATTCCTAAGCAGGAAGGCCAGGGACAGTCAGGATGGTCGGCAGAAGAGCTGTCCGCAGGGAGAAAATAGAACCCCAGCCTCTTCCACAACTTCTCCAGCACCCGCCGCCCATTAATTGCAGCAAAGAATACTCAGGAGGTGTTTATGACTCATGCCGTCATTTGTGAACAATCCCCTCTCCATACTCATGGCAGCCCGAACAGACGCGATGGACGTGGCTCTCGGCGAAGCTAGTTTCACATCCCGGTGTCTGCGTGTCGGGGGCGGGGGTGGACGGGTGGGGGAGGCTGTTTTGGCCCAGGCGCGCCACGGCTGTCAACACAAACTGGACGCTTCTTCCTTTGTAAAGGAGTGCCTCTCTGAACCGCAATCGGGCCGCGTCTCCATGAAACAGTTTATTGTCCAGCTTGCAGCTGGCTGTCCCCCCACGGAAGGCGGCCCATTTGCATTCAGTGGCAATTATAATTCACGTTTTGGAAGGAGGGAGCTGGAGAGGTTACCGCTCCCTCTACTAGGACCATCCGTGGTGGGTGGCATGGCTCGAATTTTAAGTGACATCCCTAAATGCCAGGAAGTCGTCCCTGGTCTCCGTGGCAGCAACCGCCTTGCAATCCCAACCTGCTCCTTGAAGCTCGCGTTGGCTCCCCCGCGCCCCCCCCTCCCGCCGCGCCTCGGAGCAGCCCTGAGCCAAAACGCGCGTCCCGAGGGGCGCAACCGCACTGCCCAACGCACAGCCCGCGTCTCACGTTGCTTACAAGGGGTCTTTTGTCGCCGGCCCGACGTATGAGGCGCCACGCATGGGTGCTCAGTCCGCCCGCCGCTGGGACGTGGTGGCTAATGGAGGGCCCTGAGGCCGCGCCGGACGCGCGCCCCGCGGGGGAGGTGCAGGGAGCCCGCCGCAGCCGGGCAGGGACACGCAGGGGTGGCTCCTGCGAGAGGATGACCGGGGCTTAAAGTGCGAATTTTTGTGTGACACCTGTTGAGCCAAAACACATTCGGGGGGCAGAGGATGGGGAGGGAAGGCTCCGAGGCTGGGCTAGCTTTCCAGTCTGAAAATCGCGGACCGCGCCGCCTGCAATTACAGCCCCGACTGCCCGCACCTACCGTATATTCCCAACAAGACGCGCCCATGAAAAGAAAAGCGCGTTAATTTGCTTTAAATGGCTCCGGCAACGAGACCCCATCCGCTCTATCCACAGCTCCCTCAATTGAGATCGATCTAGTCGGTCTCCACTGAGTATATTTTAGCTTTGCGGACATTGGGAAGGGGGAGCTTGTCACAGTCTGCTCTGGTCCTGCCCAAAATCAATATTCCACAGACCGTTAGCACATTTTTTTAAATGTCAATAAAGTTCTTCATTGTAGCTCACCTGGCACTTGGAAGGCATCTCCTACATTTTACAACTTGGAACGGTGTCCCCCCAGATTCTGAGAAACTTGCACAAGCTGCATGCTTTAGACCCGCTGCTCTGGATCTCCCGGTGTTGCTAATTTTGACAGTTGCTTTTTTACTCTCCTTTCCTCCTTTTACTTGAATTTCACCTCAGTCTCAAGGCTTTCCTAAAACCGAGGTTGCTGCAACGTCTTAAACGTTGTTTGCCCAGTGTCTATGCCCGCTTTTATCTTCAACACTATTTTTCTCCCCTGGACTCTCAGGTCCACCGAAAGGCTCAGACTGGGGAGCCCTTCTAAAAGTCTTGCATGCAGGTCCTAACCTAGACTAGCCCGAGGGTCCAGGAAGTCCCCAGCGCGCAGTTTTCCACGTGAACGTCTCGGGCCACGTGAATCCCACCATCTGCCCCCCGTTTCATCCTTCACCATCTCACCTCTGGGTGCCACACCAATAACAAAGAGACTGGGCGCGAAGGAGCGCCTCAGAGAGGAAGATAAAGTGGTTTTCGGTGGGGGTAGGCCTGAGCTGCCCGCGGGGGCGGGGCTGAAAAGGGAACCAAGCTTCCCTGGGCATCTCACCTCCATTGTCATCCTCTGAAAGCTGAGGCTGTGGAGGGCACCCAATTAGAAGATGGGGGTTGAGGGTGAGGGTGAGGGAAGGCCTACTTGGACTTGATCCCTGACTATCTCAAGCTGAAACGCGCGCGCGAACACACACACACACACACACACACACACACACACTCACACACACACACACTCACACACACACACACACACAGGCAGGGGTCTCTGAAACGCAGCCTCTCGCTGCAGCGTGTCTGTTTAGGTCTCACTCAGATAGAAACTGTGAATCTCCAAGTCGTGCTCAGGCGTCCCGCCCACGTAAGGAGACACCCGCGGGATGCTTTCCCACGCCGCGTCTCCAGGATCCTGGGGGAGCGCACCCCGTGCGGCGGAGGTCCCGGGGGCACGGCCTTGGCGGGCAGCAGGTGGGAGTCCGGGCCGGCGCCCCGCACCCCACCCGTGTGCGTCCAGGGACTGGCCAGACCACCGCCTTCGGGAAGGATCCGCGTTTTCGCGTGCTCCAGGACCCCAAGGAGACGCCACTCCTGCCACAGAGCTCTTCTGCAAGAGTAGAGGTCGCACCCAACCCCCACGTCGTTCCTGATGGAAAGGGTCGCTGGGTCCACGAGAGAGAGCCTTTTGCACATGCCAGGGTGGCGGCGACGTGTGGTGTGTCGGCAGGGACTGACACCCTCACTCCCTGCCTATGAAACGGCAGTCTTACCTAACACGTTTAGACGATCTTGAGAGGGATTTACAAAGGGAGGTGGGGGTGGGTGAATTACTGTCTTTTCAAAACAATGGCAGCGAACAAAAACCCACCTCTGGGTCTTCGCCTTCAGCAGGACCCATCCCCCAAGGTTGGCAGGACGGAGCCACCTGCTGAAAGGAGCCTTTGTGTTTGAGTCAGGGATTCCTGTGCCCGCCGACTTTTGGACAGGTGTTCCTTCTCCCATCTGTCTCCTCTGGGAATATTTATTCCTTTCTTCTAGAAGGCCAGCCTTCCCCAAATTTTCATGAACCTCCCAAGGTTGAAACAGGGAGTTTGGCTTGGTGCCTGGTGTGTGTGTGTGTGTGTGTGTGTGTGTGTGTGTGTGTGTGTGTGTGTGTGTGTGTTGCTGAAAGGAGGAGGTGAATTGACACCCAGGAACCTTCAGGAGGCCCCGAGGGTAGGCGTGAGTGTGTCCTCGGGAAAGCGCCTGATGGGCGACTGTGTGAATGTTCCCCGGACTCCAGATGGTCGATGGCGCGCGACCACCGCGTCTCAGGACCCGGCAGGCACGGAGAAAGTCCCTTTTCCCCTGGCAGACCGCAGCCCTGTCCTCACTCGCTCAACTTCCCTGAGAGGCCCTCGGGGACATGGGGAAGGCAATGGGGGAAACAACTAGTGGAAGTGTGACTCCTGTCTGGCCCCCTTCCCCACCTGCTTGTCCCAAGGACTTAGTTGGACTCCAGGGGCAATGGCAAAGGAAATGAAGCGGCCCAGGGTCATGCGCATCGCCAAGGTGGTCTCCTCTCAGCCCTGCTGGAGAGGCCTGTTGGGGGCTGCAAAGAGGGCACGCGGGGGGCTAGCTGCGCACTGCAGAATGGCAATGAGGCAGGACGACCTAAGACAGACAGACCCAGGGATGAGGCAGGTGGGCTCTCTGCTCCCTGAATGCGATGCCTTTGGGGAGTCTGCACCATGGAGTAGCTGAGTCCACTCCCTTTCCTGTTCTGACAGGGCTTGAGCGGTTCCCAGCATTCGGAGACCTTCCCCTGGACGGTTCCCTGGCTTAAATCCTTCTGAAATGTCATTTTGCAGCCCCTTACTTAACGGAATCTTCTAGTCGGGGAGGAGTGGGGCATTGTGTCAAGCCCTCCTTGGGCGAGTGTGTGAGCAGAAATAATTAAGCAGCAGGTTTCGGCATCTTGAAAACCTGATGCCAGCTCCCTTGGGATCCTCCAAGGAGAAAAAGGGTAGAGTTACTCAATAAATTAAGTACTCCAGGAGCAAAGGCCCAGTTCTAGTAGTTATGACTGTTCATGACACTAATTAGCGTTTCTATTTGTGGGATAGCTGGGTAGGTTTGGAGTATACATGTCCTCTTGATGTTGGATGAACAGTAAAAGAATAAAATTAATTGGCAGCAAATGGCATCTAAATGGTTCTAAATATAGCAAAACTCTATCATAAGTGAGATCCGATAAAACAAAAAAAAGTTAAGAGAGGTAGAGCAGT